GCAGCAGTGGACCAGGTATGAGGACACCTGGTCAGGTGTCAGATGATGTAATGTTGGACACCTGGTCAGGTGTCAGATGATGTAATGTTGGACACCTGGTCAGGTGTCAGATGATGTAATGTTGGACACCTGGGTGTAAAAGTGTCCTCGTGTCTCAGATTCTCCTCACAGAGACCTGGCTGACGTAGAACCAGCTCCTGATTCCTCCACCTCCACCCCTCCTCCGGACCACCAGGACTCGTCCCGGGGTCGGCCCGGACTCGACCTCTGCACCTCCTCCAGACAGCCCCCGTCTCCGACCTCAAACCTGGTCCACAGCCCCCGGTCCAGGTCCAAACCCAGTTCCCCGTCCTCCTCCTGTCCCTCTCCGCCTCAGACCGGCTCTGTGGCGCCGAGGAGGAAAGGCGTGGCCCGGAAGATGCGCCGAAGCCAAAGACAGCGAGGACAGCAGAGCTGCTCGCCGGCAGCCAGAGAGGAGGAAGAGGAGGAGGAGAGGATGCAGGTGGAGGAGGAGGAGGAGATGATGGAGGAGGAGAAGACAGTGGGAACATCAGGTAAATAAAGTTTTCTTTATCGCAGCAGAAAGAAACAGGAAGTTACTGTGATGTCATCAAACAACCGTCACTGACGGCGCTGGGCCAGATGTGAGGCAGCCATCTTGTGAGGAGCTCTGTGGTGTTCACCTGATCAGACGTAACGCTCCGTTCTCCTGGTCTGGATCTGAGGACGCCTGCAGGACCACACGTAGCTCCTCCCAACATGGCGGCATCTTAACAAACTGAGCTCAGTGGGTCCAACCGTCCTGCTCTGCTTCATCCTCAGCTGCATCGTAGGAGGACGCCTCCACGACCGCCAGATCAACTCCTTCAAAATAAAACTGTCCATGTGTACAGCCCTGCCTCAGACCCGACTGGTTTCTGTGGTTCCAGAACCTTCAGCCCATTGAGCCGTCCGGGACCAGGCGGGTCCAGACTCTGGTTCAGACAGCCTGAAGACAAAACGTTTGGATTTTCTGTGAAAAACAACGTTTTTGCTCTTAATGTTGAAGAAGTAGTTTTGTGATTTAGTTTTTTCCTGAGGTTCAGTGAATGCATCACGATGGGACTTCAAGTGGTACCGACACAGAACCCTGCAGGTCCAAACGGGTCACTGCACGTTGCTTTATTTTAACTCATGAATAGGAAAATAGATTTTTTTTACTTTTGACTCAGTTTTTGTTTTTATTATTTTAAAGTTTTGCAGCTGAAACAGATTTATCTTCCTGTCCTTCAGTTTGAAATATTAACTTTAAAAACTAAATATTTTAACAAAATAAAATCTTCATGAGAGAAAAAATTAAAATCATGATCTGGATTTTCTTTCAATCTACAAAAAACGGTTTCATTAATTTTTAAAAAACATTCATAAGGATAAACAGTCTGAGACATGATGAGAAGCTGTGATCTGGTTCTGTTTGGTTCTGTTTGGTTCTGATGAACATGTTTAAATGTAAATATTGTTGTAAATGTCTGAAGAATAGCAGATATGTTTGTGTTTGTTAGAAAACAGTTTTCTGTTCATGAACTAATGAATAAAGTTTGTCAGTAGAACCTGTTGGTTCTGCTCGGCCCACAGAGTTCTGATAGGTTCTTTGGTTTCACCTGTCAGCTGAAAGTGGGCGTGTCCTCCTGTATTTATCATTTGTACATAAAACATGTCAAACTGTCAGGTGTCTGAGTCTAAATCATCACTAAATATTCAGGAGAACCTGATGAACATGAAACACCCAAAGAAGGCGGGGCTTCAGAACTGTTGGACCCGACTGGTCCAGGCTGAGGTGACCAATGAGCAGGAAGCTCCTGATGGTTCCATCTGTTCGCTCCAATCGTGCAGCAGCTGCAGGTTAGAGACTGAGGACCAGGATCAGGTGTTCGCTCAGTTCCACTACACCCCAACAGAACCACGGTTCCCCATGGATCCAGTGCTCCCTCAACCCAGACCTGGACCCCAGGATCCAGTCAAAGGAATGTACCAAGGCTGGTCCTGCTGAGGCTCCTCCAGTCTGTGGTCTCTGTCCCTCAGGACTTCCTGGTCCAGCTGGTTCTGATTGTTTGAACTGAATGAGCTGTATAAAGTTTGTTTTTCTTTAACAAAGTAAATCTTACAGTTCTGAGGTTTGAGTTTTCCAGACGCAGAATTTAAGGTTTAAATTCACTCTGGTACAGATTTTAACCTGTACAGTGGTGAGGAACAACGGTCCAATGTTTCAGCAAGAAAACCTCTGAGCTCCTTCAGCTGGGAGCTTAAACTCTAATCCTGTACAAGGTTTACGTCACAAAAATAATCCAGTGAAATTTACCTTTCTGGGTAAAACTGCAATAATCTGTTCAGAACTTTAATGACTCCATCTGGACCTGAGTCTCTTGTCAGGTGGAGTAAACCCTGGAGCTCACGTGGCTGCCTGGGACCCCAGGTCCAACAAAGAATTAGACCTCAGGATGGCCAGTCTAAAGCTGTCATCAGGGTCTCAGGTTATAGATTTATATTTGGAGGGAAAGTGTGATGGCCAGGGGTGTCACTAGGTTTTAAGGACAAGGGGGGCTTAGTCCCCAGGAGACACACAGAATTTTTGTATATTGCCGGTATATATTTGTAGTGTGTGTATGTGTCTATATATATATATATA